TTTTTAAATCTCTCGCCGACGGAGTTGCGGGCCAAAGCTAGTAATGTAATTTACATTGTATTTAATTGTTATTTACATCGTATATAAATATTTATGTTCTTTGTTTCAGATTTTTAGACATTGTTTGATAAAATCAAATTTACACTATTGTTATTACACCAGTAATAATCGTACAGCAAATAAGTTTCTGGTGTTATTTCTATCACTTTAAAATCCGGCCAATTTACCTGTAACTTGGTGAAAAATGCAAATTACTACCATCAAACTGGATAGACCGTTATCTTTTATTTTATTGCACTGAAAAACCTACATACCTACTAAAAATGTATAGAGGTCTTTAAACAGACATTCAAGTCTGTTGCAATAGTAATTGAACACTAAATATAATGGACACTATTATCTTGATTAATTGGCAACACTAAAGCGCCGGTGGCGCCACACCGTGATAAGTTGGGTGCACTGTAACAATAAGCTGCCCATAACTATATTGATGTCAATTATTTGTAAAATATAAAACGTTGCTCAGAAATATATAAAATATCGTAGAACATGTTTTTTATTTAATTTGATTAAGTTAATGTACACACTAGCGCTGTATATTACTGAGTGATCTAAAAAAAATACGAATAGCATGCAACTAGTTCCATGTTTCAGTGAATCGGAGAGTGGTTCCGGTGTGCCGGAATGGGCTATCGTGGAGCTGCAAGGTCTCGTACAAATGAAGAAAGAGTCTCCGGCGGGGCCCGCGGTCATCGGCGACCTGCACTACTACCAGAGGAACCGCCACCCCGTGCTGGTGCTCGGACATCACATACTCAACGGCAAGGAAGTTAAATTAGAACAACCGATGGCGGTCATTGAGAAAGTACATATTGATGGAAAGCTACAATATAAAATTAAAGCTATCGTCAAAAAGAAATTACTATTCAAATCCAGACCTAAGCCGATCATATCACATGTATCTGATAAAATTTAATTAAATTGTTTGCCGTGGTTTTTGGTGTTTTAATTTCGTGACCAATGTTTATGCTGAAATGTCAGTCTGGACATACATTACCGACTAGGCTATTTGACCCTATGAGCATTAATATACCTAAATTATGATATTTATATAGTCTACCTTGCCCATGACATGAAGACATGTGAGGAGAGCATGTCAACTGTCATGTCATCTATAGGCATCACTGTTTTGTCAAATAGAATAAGAGGGATGGCAATATTGTACAAATTATCGATTTTCTTCTTTTCGAGTGTTATAGTAGCGCGACTGAATAAATTTCAAACAATTTTATTAGAAATACATTTATTTTAAGTAATATATATTCCGGTATGTACACATTAACACTTATCCCAGACGAACATGAAAAAATAAAATCTTCAATGAAGAACAATATTCCGTCCGAACGTATCTTGTAGTTTTTTTTATAATTGGCCGATCGATAAGTTTACAAATCGGCATAAATATATTTTCTATATTTCATTAACATCATCTTTAAATTCCAATAAATCCTGTTTCATACAACAATACATTTGTATCATTTACAATGATATATTTTTTCTGATCTTTATTTTTAATCTACATTCAATAAAGAACATTTTCATATTATTTTAAACATTCTTAAATTAAACAGGCATTTAGTACGAATTAACTGATAATTTCAAAAACATCTAAAACT